GTTTCCCTCCCCCCCCCCCCCCCCCCCCGCCCTGATCGGAAATATGGGAAATGTTGCCAGCCTATCTAACAGGGCGGTTGTAAGGATGGCAAAGGGCCATAAGTCTAAAGTAAGAGTTTTTGCGTGCAAGAGGTGTGCCAGGCGTAATTGCTGATGGCCCCAGACTTCAGAAGGTTGGACCAGAACCTACGGGTTGAAATTAAATTAAACGAGTTATCGGCTAAACTTTAGGAAGAACTTCCTGACAGAGTGGTTCCTCAGTGGAACAGGCTTCCTCGGGAGGTGGTGGGCTCTCCTTCTTTGGAGGTTTTCAAGCAGAGGCTAGATGGCCATCTGACAGCAACGTTGATTCTGTGCACTTAGGCAGATCACGAGAAGGGAGGGCAGGAGGGGGGTTGCATCAGTGCTTCATTCTTCTGGCCCTTTCTTACATGCCCAGGGAAATGGTGATGGCCACTTTGGGGTCAGGAAGCAATTTTTCTCCAGGCCAGTCTGGCCAGGGATCCAGGAGATTTTTTTGCCCTCTTCTGGGCATGAAACGGGTCACTGGGTGTGTGTGGGGGGGGGGGGTATTTGTGAATTTCCTGCGTTGTGCAAGGGGTTGGACTAGGTGACCCTGGAGGTCCCTTCCAACTCTATGATTCTAATTTCAACTGCCCAAAACATTAACACGTGAAAACAATAACCACCTCTCAGCGTTTCTTCAAAAGTGCCTTTCTGCTCTGATTGTCTTGTGGCCACACTCCCATCTTTTCCAGGTGTCTTCTGCCATGACTGATGAAATTTGTCGACTTTCAGTACTGGTAGATGAATTTTGCTCTGATTTTCACCCGTCTCTGCAAGTTTTGAGATTATATAAAAGCGTAAGTTCGTGCATAGATGAAAATTGTTTTAAAATCTGTGTTCTCCCTGTTGCCTGTTGCATGACTAGAGCAAAGCTTAGGACTGTTTATATATGTGTATATACATGTGTGTGTGGATAGATTTATGTGGTTCGCAGTTTCTAAGTCGGTTAGATTATCCATTGACTGTTTGCTTCCCCCCCCCCTCTGTGAAACGCTCCAGGAGCTCAACAAGCACATAGAAGAAGGCTTGGGAAGGAACCTGGCCGACCGGTGCTCCAGTGAAGTCAACATGTCCATGTATCAGTCACAGCAGAATATGATTGGTAATGTTTGTGCGAAGGTTGCCGCTCTCTAACCCCTGTTCAGTCTTTCACATGTGACACGGAGGAGGGGAGGGACCACGGCTCAGGGGAAGAGCCTCTGCTCTGCATGCGGAAGATCCCAGGTTCAATCTTTAGCATTTCCGGGCAGTGGCGGACCTACATTTTTGGGACCCTGAAGCTTGAACTGTTACGGGGGGCCCCTTCTCAACCAGCAACAATGGGGCAACATCCAACAAGGTCCAAAGGTAGACAGTCATCAGAAGGGGTGGGGCTTGTTAGGATAAAGAGGTGAAAATCTAATTTTTGCTGTTAAAGCACACAAGCGAGACTAGTGCAGCCTGAATTGAGAACCCAGATGTCTTTTAATGGTTCTGATTGCCTAAGGGCTGAGCTGTAGAGCTGTAAAGCCATGCACCAACGAAGGATCCGAGGATCCAGCTGCCAAAATGTAGGCCATGCATAGATTCCGGCGAACTCAGCGAGCCCATACAGCTGGTGGTTCGGGCTTAAATTTTGAAATTTGACCATTTACGGGGACATTTTGAGGCCATACGAAATGGGGATTAGAGCATATTCTAAGGTCAGTATTAAGTACTTCAGTCCATTGGCTTCTGATCCTGTCACTAATCAATGTTTAATCAATTTTGTTGAAAAATTCACTCGTAAAAAAAAAAGTTGCTTCAGGGCCTCTCCAGGATTAGGGCCCCCGAAGCTTAAGCTTCATTGGTTTCATAGTCGATCCGTCCCGGTCTCCAGATAAAAGGACCAGGCAGTAGGTGACGGGACAGACCCCTCCCTGAGGCCCTGGAGAGCCACAGTCTGAGTAGACAACACTGACCTTGCTGGACCAAGGGTCTGGTTCAGTACAAGGCAGCTTCCTGTGTCCTGTGTCCATTTCTCCAGTTCCAGACTTCTCCAAACAGATGGACGTGTATCAGTCGTCATGGCCGTGACCGTGGCATCGCCACAAGCATGCAGGTGGAGGCGGCCACGTGCCCGTCCCTGCGTGGAAGTGCCACTTGGAAGATCTGTGCTTCTGGGTGGTCCCTTTTTGAGGCAACCCAATGAGACCCTGGAGAGTTGCTGGCAGCCCGAGTAGACAATACTGACTTCGACAGCCGAAGGGGGGTCTGGCTCAGGGTCCAGCAGCTTCAGGTGTTCAAATGCCCAGAATCTTTTAGGGAAGCTGAGGTCAAAAGAGGCCTTTCCTCCCTCTTGCACAGAGCTTGTAGGATCTAACCCTTTCCACTTGAGTGCCTCGCCAAAGCTGACCTGCTTTTCTGAAAAAAAAATAAAACCGGAATCTTATTTATACCAATCAAAATGGAGGCACAAAACGAGCACAATCCACGTGCCGTAGTCAGCTGTGATGGGAGGACCCAAGCTTAGAAGACCACCCATTGACCGTGCTCAATCCGCTCCCTTTTTTGTTCGTTTAGAAAACCTGAAGCCGCTTTTGCCTTCCGGGGTCCAGAACCAGCTCCACGTGCTCATCCCGTGCAGGACGTTTGACCTCAGCTACGATCTGAACTGCCACAGCCTGTGCGCAGATTTCCAAGAGGATATCACGTTCCGCTTTTCCTTGGGCTGGAGCGCCCTGGTCAGTCGGTTCCTCGGCCCAAAAAGCCCTCACCGGGTGCTCCTGGGCATGGCGGAGCCCACCCTCGCCGTAAGTGTTTGGAAAGGCTTTCCTAGGCAGACGGAGCTTGTGTTGGTGGCTCGTGCAGGCAGATGCTAAAAAGTGGGTAACGTCTCCAGTGTGAAGATAGACGGGGACTGGGGATCCGTGTTCGTCTGCCTGTGGTCATAGAAAAGAGCAAGGGTCCAGTAGTACCTTCAAGACTAACAAAAAATTGTGGCAGGGTATCTGGAGAAGTGAGCAGCGACTCACGAAAGCTCCTGCCCCGCCACAGTTTCTTTTAGTCTTTAAGTTGCTGCTGGACTCTTGCTCTTTTCTATATCTCTGGCATCAACATGGCATTCACTTGTGGACAAGGACTTGGCAGCAGAGCATGGCTGGGCCATCCTGCAGTAAACGTCCACAAAGAGATTTTTGTTTTTGGTCCCATCCCCCCCCCCCAATGCAGATATCTGTATTCCTCCTTTGGGGGAGGGGGTTTCCTTGTCCCATCGGAGCAGCATTTAGGGAATCGTAGAGTTAAACAGTTGGAAGGGGCGTGAAGACCATCCAGGACCAGCCCCCTGCACCATGCAGGATGACCTGAAACGTCCCTGACAAATAATTGTCCAAACTCTCCTTAAACGCCTCCAAGGAGGGAGACGCCACAACATCCCTGGGCAACCAGTTCTACCATTTTGGGCTGCACCAAGGAAGTCGCATTCTGCTGACGGGAATCTACTCCAGGATCCCAGGCAATGTCTAACTGTGTGTGTGTGTTCGAAGCAGCCATCAGCACTGAAGCAACAGGTCACCTGCCGATATACGCCTATGCTGGGTTTATTAAAAAGGTGCCTCTCCCGGTCCTTTGGCCAAGGGAGATGGCACCAAGTCCACCTTGGAACGGTCTCCCAGACAATACAGCTCAAGAGGTCTGCTGGCTGGCCCCGTCCCTGTGCCGGCCTGCCCTTACCTCTGCCCTCGCCCTCTTCTCTCCTAGCTCCCGAGGTCTCTAGCCTCAACCCCCTGCATCGCCAGCACCCCCACCTTGGCTGCAGAGAACCCATCGCAGGAAGAGCTCATGGTTTCCTTGGTAACAAATTTGGCATCGCTGACATCCCGGACCTCCATGACCATCATCATTGTCGGAGGAGTGGTAAGTTCCGTTGTTGCTTTGCGCCCTGGCGAGAAATCGTGGGAAGGGTTTAGACACACACACACCCGGGGGGGGGGGGGGGTTTGGACACATGTGTTCTGTGCTGCGACGCCTCTCCCTCTAGTTCCACATGCCCTCCCCCCTTGCCAAAACCTACACATGCCGTACTTCTTTGTGAGTGGCTGTTACTCACTGGCAGAGCATCTGCCTGGCACGCAGAAGGTCCCAGGTTTAGTCCCTGGCATCTCCAGTTAAAAGGACCAGGGAGTAAGTGATTGTTCAGAGGCCGGGAGAGTTACCTGTCCCGTGTTGTTTCATAGGGCAGCAATGTTGGCCTGCTGTAGGAGAGCTAGATTTGGGACCAGGAGCACTGGGGTGCGGCTCAGCGGTAGAGCATCTGCCTGGCATGCAGAAGGTCCCAGGTTCAGTCCCCCGGCATCTCCAGCTAGAAGGACCAGGCAGTAGGTGATGGGAGAGACAGACCTCTTCTGCCTGAGACCCCGGAGAGCCGCTGCCAGTCTGAGTAGACAATACTGACCTCGATGGACCGAGGGTCTGATTCGGTATAAGGCGGTTTCATGTGTTCACCTTAGAGACCAACAAGATTTGGGGGGCATCAGCTTTCGACAGCCAAAGCTACCTTTGTCAGATAGGAAGGGAGCTTTGATCGTTAGCTGTTGTAGGTTTTCCGGGTCCTACAATGCCAAGACCACGGCCATACAGCCCGGAAAATCTATAACAACTAATGGACTCCAGCCATGAAAGCCTTCGACAACATACGGAGCTTTGATCTTTGAAAGCTTATGCCCCCCAAAATCTTGCTGGTCTCTAAGGTGCTCAAATCTAGCTGTCCAAGCTCTAAGGTGCTCAAATCTAGCTGTCCAAGCTCTAAGGTGCTCAAATCTAGCTGTCCAAGCTCTAAGGTGCTCAAATCTAGCTGTCCAAGCTCTAAGGTGCTCAAATCTAGCTGTCCAAGCTCTAAGGTGCTCAAATCTAGCTGTCCAAGCTCTAAGGTGCTCAAATCTAGCTGTCCAAGGTTGTTCAGTGGTTAAGTGCACGGACTCTAATCTGGGAGAACCGGGTTTGGTTCCCCACTCCTCCACTTGCACCTGGCTGGATGGCCTTGGGCAAGCCATAGTTCTAATAAGAGCTGTCCTTGAAAAAGAGCAGTCTCTGTCAAGAGCTCTCTCAGCCCCACCTACCTCACAGGGTGTCTGTTGTGGGGAGGGGAAGGGAAAAGGAGTCTGTAAGCCGCTCTGAGACACCTTTGGGTAGTGAAGGGCGGGGTATAAATCCAATCTCCTTCTTCTTCTTCTTCAGGAACTCCCGCCATTACAAGTGGGCTGGGTTAGATGGCTCCCCAAAATTCCATTCCAGCTCTCACCATATTTTCAGGGCACTGTTTTACAGAAGATAAGGTGACTGTTTGGAGCCATACTGTTCATGGCCGCACAGTGAAGTGACACGTTGGCCCTGGGCTGCAGCTTTTAAATACGTTCTTAAAACGTCTCTCACTGGCTTGCCATTTTTTAAAAAAATGTAACCCAAAGAGTCTCAAAGAATCCGAAAAAGGCAGCAGACCCAGCCAAGGGAAGCTGCTGGTAAAACTCCCGTCAGTTTCCACTTTTTCTTTCAACCGCCAGGTAACAAGGTGGGCTTTTGCTTTCTTTAAAAATGATTTTCCAAACAGAAAAAGACCACCAAACTCATTCTGAACTATGGAGCGAATCCAGAAGAAGCTTTAGCCCCTTTGAGACGTAGTTGTAACGCCTCGAGAAGGTAAAATTTCGAGCAGGATCTTTCTCAAGGATCTCTGTCGGCCTCAGAAGAGCTGGTACAGGGGCATCAACTTAAGAACATAAGAGAAGCCATGTCAGATCAAGCCAGTGGCCCATCCAGTCCAACACTCTGTGTCATACAGTGGCCAAAACCCAGGTGCCATCAGGAGGTCCACCAGCGGGGCCAGAAGCCCTCCCACTGTTGCCCCCCAAGCACCAAGAATACAGAGCATCACTGCCCCCGACAGAGTGTTCCATCTTTACCTTGGGGCTAATAGCCATTCATGGACCTCTGCTCCATATGTTCATCCAGTCCCCTCTTGAAGCTGTCTATTCTTGTAGTCACCACAGCCTCCTGCGGCAGTGAGTTCCATGTGTTAATGACCCTTTGGGTGAAGAAGTACTTCCATTTATCTGCCTGCCGCTCATCTTTTTCATGGAGAGCCCACGAGTTCTTGTATTGTGAGAAAGCGAGAAAAAGTACTTCCTTCTCTGCCCCCTCCCTCCCATGTATAATTTGGTTGTGTTTCCTGTCTCATAAGCAAAGGTTTTGCCTGCTCTCTTTATCAATCAGTCACAGTTGCAGCGCCAAACATCTGTTTTCTCTTCCAGGTCTGGCGGACGGTCGGCTGGAAGGTCATCTCCCTCTCCTTGAGCATGTACGGCCTGCTGTATCTCTACGAGAGGCTCACCTGGACAACGAAAGCCAAAGAGCGAGCTTTCAAGCGGCAGTTTGTCAACTATGCCACTGAAAAGCTGCAGATGATTGTCACCTTCACCAGTAGAAACTGCAGCCATCAAGTGCAACAGTACGTCGCGTCTGTTTTTGTGGCACTCTGTCCCCAAGGAAAGGCACCACTCCTAGGCCCTTCCTCTCGAGGAAGCTGAGCAGCACCATGGAAGGATAAGAACATAAGAGACGCCAATGTTGGATCAGGCCAAAGGCCCATCCAGTCCAACACTCTGTATCACACAGTGGCCAGAAATACCAGGTGCCATCAGGAGGTCCAGCAATGGGACCAGGACACTAGAAGCCCTCCCACTGTTGCCCCCCACCCCAAGCACCAAGAAGACAGAGCATCACTTGCCCCAGGGTCCCTATCTATACCTTGTGGCTAATAGCCACTAATGGACCTCTGCCCCATATGCTTATCTAATTCCCTCTTGAAGCCGTCCATGCTTGTAGCCACCACCCCCTCCTGTGGAAGTGAATTCCATGTGTTAATCACTCTTTGGGTGAAGAAGTACTTCCTTTTATCCATTCTAACCCGACCGCTCAGCAATTTCATGGAGTGCCCACGAGTTCTTGTATTGTGAGAAAGGGAGAAAAGTACCTCTTTCTCTACCTGCTCTATCCCATGCATAATCTTATAAACCTCAATCATGTCCTGATATGGCCGGAGACTGAAAGAGCGTCTTCCTTTTTGAATGCAAACAGAGAAATGGTTTGGATCCTGTCTGCTGATGGCGGTGCCTTTCCTCTGGCGCAAGAAAAAGAGGAAAACATCGCAGTTAGGAGACTAGATCTAGAAGATCCAGTCTTGGTGGAGCAAAAAGAAGCAATAGGCGCTGGGGTCCTTTGCAAGCGTTTTTAGCTCTCTGCCAGGCAGTTTTGATTCCACTTACGCAGATATCCTCGAAAGCTCTGGAAAGCTGTAACATTGCCGCCTTTCCCGTTGGCTTCATCCACCGTTCCGCTCCCTACAGCTATTACCCCTTTGGTGATTTTGAACCACTTGCCGTCAAACGTCAATCCCTCAAAAGCAATTCCACCGTGTCTTCTCAATCCGCTGTGCCTATTCATATGAGACTGTGGCGCCATGGTTACAGAGTGGCTAGATTTGAGTCCAGTAGGACCTTCGGGACCAAACCTGAGGGCCACTTCCTAAAAACGATAAATGTGAAACAAATATATCAATAGTACAAAATTATCAAAAATACATGTCTTTTATTACAAGATGATTTAAAAACAGTTATGGGCCCACCTATAGCCTCAATACAAGATGAAATCTTACAGTGTACACAAAGGAAACCTAACGCGACCCAACGTGTTTCGGCCTAACTCGACTTCGCTGGTCAAGCATAAATAGAAGACTACATGCCCATTCAGTGTTCCCTCTAAGCTGAGTTGGTGTGAGCCAGCTCACAGTTTTTTAGCCTCCGGCTCACACATTTTTGTCTTCGCTCAGGAAGGACGGCTCCAGAGCAAACTAATTCAGGGCAGTAGCCAAATTGCTCATTCGCAACTTTAATGCCAGTAGATCACAAAGTAGAATTTTTGCTCATAAGACTCCACAGCTTAGAGGGAGCATTGATACCATTATGGTACATTGGCTCTGAATTGCTCTTGAGGCTGTATCTTCTGGACCAAAAGAGGAAGGCATAGCATTGAAACATCACCTGATTATGACACAAGGTGATATCATATGAAGCCTCCCTAATACTACTATGCCTTACGTCATTGATTATAACAATACAACTTCTTTGTCTTTCTACATTGATTAACTGTTTGTATTATCACTGCAATATTGAGCCTAAGTGTACACTGGCCCTGGTCACACGGGAGGATTTGCCCCGCGGAACGGACGGATTGAGGGCAGATTAAACCGGCGCGATCAGATGCCAACATCTGGCAAGCGTCACGCCCCCGCCCCCAACCTGTCCCTTCCGGTTGAAGATACGGAGTTAAAAAAAAAAACCCTGCAAAACACTACTATCTACTTGAAAATGCGCAGCAGGGGTGGCCGTGTGATCGCTGACACGTCCATCTCCCGCTGCATGCGAGGCCCCCTGCTGGAACTGCGCATGCGCACACATGCGCAACTGACTCGCCTTGCTCTCCTGTCCGTGGCTTCCCCCTCGGCATCTGATCACGCTGGGGAACATATGCGCGGCGGCTCGGGGAATCTGTCTGATTCTGCTGCCGCGCTTCTCTTTTCTTGCGGCTCTAAAAAGCCACACTTCCGCCACGGCTTTTCCTGCGCCTCTCTATGCTTTACCACTGAAGGCGGCCAGTTGGGCCAAAACATGTTGGGTTGCATTAGGCTTCATTTGTGTACATTGTACGATCTTACCTTGTATTGAGGATATAGTTGGGTCCATAACTGTTTTTACCTTGTAATAAATGCATGTATTTTTGATAATTTTGTACCATTGATATATTAATGTTTCACATTTATTGTTTTTAGGAACTGGCCCTCAGATTTGTATTCATTTAACCTTCCTGGTTCTTAATTCATTTTTGGTGGGGGGTTTTTGTTTCCGTCCTCCTTTCCTTCCTTTGGACCTTAGAGGCGAACAAGATTTGCTCCAACCCCCTCATCATCTTGCTTGCCCTCCTCTGTGCTTTTCCCAGCTCTGCAGTGTCCTTTTTGAGATATGGGGACCAGAACTGGACACGGCATTCCAAATGAGGCCGCACCATCGGTCGATACGGGGGCAGTGTTCCCTCTAAGCTGAGTTGGTGTGAGCCAGCTCACAGTTTTTTAGCCTTCAGCTCACATGTTTTTGATCTAGCTCAGGAAGGATGGCCTCAAAGCAAACTAATTTATGCAGCAACCAGATGGCTCGCTCACAACTTCAATGCTCGTAGCTCACAAAGTAGGATTTTCACTCACAAGACTCCACAGCTTAGAGGGAACATTGTACGGGGGTATTATAGTATTGGCCGTTTTATTCCCAGTCCTTTATGATCCCTGACATATAGTTTGCCTTTTTTCAGTGCTGCAGCACACTGGGTTGATACTGTCTTGGAGCCTTCTCTCCCTCTGGCCTCAATTCCAGTAACTATTGAACATTTCCGGTTATCAGCGTTGTCTATATATCTGGTGAAACAACTTGAAAACTTAGTTGATGTTTCTGAGGGAGAAACATCGCCTGTACCCAAATGAATGGAACTACCTTTCTGTTTTTCCTGGAAGAAAAAGTTGTGGGTGATTCCAAAGCCTGCACGTCCCCGTGCCAACAGACTCTGAGCCGGTCTTGTCAAGCAGGATTCGTGCTCTCGGTGCGGAATCCTTCCAGATGCTGCCAGGAGACAACCTAAATTCCGAGACTAGAATACGCTCGGTTTGACTGTGTCGCTTGTCTTGTAGGAGTCCAAATCTCCACTGCAATCCCGGGATATAAATCCAATCTCTTCTCTTGTACAGTGGGTTCTGTTTTTAGTATTTATAATACCTGCCCCCCCCCCATTAATTTATTTTTTTACTTGGAGGGATGGAAGGAGAGCAGATCTCACTTTTAGAAGCGACCATTTCAGCGTTCCGTGCGCCTTGGTGTTTAGTCATGCCGGCCACATGACCACAGAAACGTCTTCGGACAGCGCTGGCTCTTCGGCTTTGAAACGGAGACGAGCACCGCAACCCTAGAGTCGGACTCGACTGGCTTTCGAGCAAGGGAACCTTTACCTTTATTTCTCCCCTGCTGTTTTCTTCAACCATTTTGTCTCGCATAACAGCAGGGAGAGGACAGAGGCAGCTGCGTCTGAGCAGCGCCTGCTCAGAATGAATTGGGCCCCTCTGTGCCCCCTGTTTAAAATTTCCTTTTTTGTCCGTGCTGCATTGGGAAGGAGACATTCTTAACAGAATGCTCGCTGTTCATAATAAGCCTATGGGATTGTGGCCGGAGTGCAAGGCCCCCTCTGACAAGTCTTTCATTCTGGGCCTACCGGGCGGAACAAGCTGGTGGACCTGATCTTTGGTGGCTTTTCTCTCTCACAGGGAAATGGCCACGACGTTCGCTCGTCTCTGCCAGCAAGTTGACATCACCGAGAGGAACCTGGAAGAAGCGATCGCCCGGTTGTCCAAAGGAATTGACCAGCTAGAGAAAATCCAGAGCCACTCCAAGCAGCTACGGTAAATGGCTGGGGAGGGGGCCCCTGTTTTGTGGTGGTGGGGGGTCGCTGTTTCTAAAATTGACATCTCAAGAAGCCTCACATATTGGCTAAAGCCCAGGGGATTGTGAAATCAGGGGATTGTGTTGAGTTTGAGGTGGTAATCTACCTTGGGATGATGTTGAGGGGGTCAGAGGGGGCCCTTTAGACGTTACGGAGAATCAGATGCATTTTCCCCACGTGTGTCTAATCTGGCGGAGAGCCATGACCGACCCTCCCTTCCTGGAATGGCTGTCTCTGTGACGCATGTGTCTGCAAAAATACGTTCCCGTACATAACGTTATCATTATATTATTATTAGAGCCTTAACCCTTGCCTTAACTGGCTTCCTCTCTCTGTTGAAACCCCCCCCCCTTGAAATTTGAATCAGGAAAGGCAATCCCTCCATTGCTTCTTAGTCTATTTAAAGTGCGGACACTCACACTTTTTGGCAAGGATGCCAAGAGACACGCAAACGGGCATGCCTTCAAAAAAAAGAAAGAAAAAGAAAAGCAGTCCGGAAAACCTGTTAAAAACTAAATGAGGGTTGTAAGCACAACGGTGAATCCCTTTTTAGAGTACTGGGACAGTGGGGAAGGGCCCAAGATCTCAAAAAGTCCCCTTCCAAAGTTGGCCCTTGTTCCCTCGTGGGAGCCTGAGATCAGTACAAAGCCGCTGTCGGTAGGTGCTTTCCTTTCTCTCCCCCTTCCCTAAAACCAGATTGCAGTTCATGAACTTGCAGTGGAGCTGGTAAGCCCCCCCCCCAGGGCTGCCAAGTCCCCCTGGGGGGCGGGAAAACCCCGCCCCAGAGGCCCGTTCCCCGATGACGGGGAATCGGGTCCTGGGGGGAACCCCGCCCCGGCGTGCGCGTCACAGGGAAGTGACGTCATGACGCCGGGCACGCTATGGTTTTCCCTTGTAAACCCTACCCCCCCCCCCTCCGGTAAGATCAGGTGGCCTGAAAAAATATGCTTCTCACCCCTCGTCTTTTTCAATGTGACATCTATTCCGGTGCAGAGTTCTGGTGAGCTCAAAAGCTTGTACAGTGTTTCGTGTTCAGTTGGTTGGTCCTAACGAAAGGTATTGACACAGATCTTGTTCCTGCCGCTTCAGCCCTTGAAATCGCTGTCTGAAACAGCACTGCCCCCTTGTGGCGGGAACTCCCACACAGCCTCTCTAAGCGGCTTACCAAATGAATGAATCAACCTCACTGCCAATGTTCCCTCTAAGATGAGTTAGTGTGAGCTAGCTCACAGTTTCTTTAGCCTCCAGCTCACACATTTTTGTCTTAGCTCAGGAAGGATGGCTCTTTTTTGTTGGTGTTGTTCAGTCGCACAGTCGAGTCCAACTCTTTGCGGCCCCCATGGACCAGATCACGCCAGGCCCTCCTGTCTTCCGCCGTCCTCTGAAGTTGGCTCAATTTCATGTTCGTTGCATCTATGACACTGTCTAACCATCTCATCCTTTGCCGTCCCCGTCTTCTTTGACCTTCAATCTTTGCCAGCATCAGGGTCTTCTCCAGTGAGTGCAGTAGCCAAATCACTCACTCACAAGTTTAATGCCAGTAGCTCACAAAGTGGAATTGTTGCTCACAAGACTCCACAGTTTAGAGGGAGCATTGCTCACTGCATGCAGGTTTCCCTATGCATGCAGAGCCAATGTGGTGAGATGGTTAGAGTACTGGAGTAAGATCCGGGGGACCCTGGCCGTTAGGTCCTGTTCTGCAATGAAACTTCAGACCACTCACTCTCTAAGCCAAACCTTCCTCACAGGGTTTTCAGGGTAAAATGTGGGCGTACCATGTACATTGAGTTGGATAAAAATGTACTGGATCCGTTAAGAAGAGATTGGATTTATACCCCGCCCTTCACTGAGAGTCTCAGAGCGGCTTACAATCTTCTTTCCCTTCCCCTCCCCACAACAGACACACTGTGAAGTAGGTGGGGCTGAGAGAGCTCTGAGAGAACTTGTGACTGACCCAGGGTCACTCCAGCAGCTGCATGTGGAGGAGTGGGGAATCAAACCCAGTTCTCCCAGATTAGAATCCGCACTCCTAACCACTACACCAAACTGGACTGGTGGTCTACTGAACTGAAGACACTACAGTGTTGGGGCTAATCCATGTCTGAAGCATCTTATGGTGTCAGATGTCTCTCTTGCCAGTTTCCATGTAGTTGGTGTAGTATTAGAATTGGCCCTTGGTAATCTTGTGTATTCTGTGCACAACAGTGTCTGCATGTTGGTTAGACCAAGGGTGTCATACATATGGTCCGTGGGCCAGAACCGGCCCATTCAAGGCCCTTTATTGCCAGATGACAGAGGCTGTGCATTACGTCCTCATATACTGTCCCAGTGCTAATGAGGAATGGGTGGTGGAAGCGGGCGGGTGGGCATCAGGGAGATACTTTAAGGAAATACTGTGAGAGTGTTAATGTTTTAAGCATGTTTGTATTCTGAGTAAAAATAATATTGGTAATTGCCAGTGTCTTTTATAAAGTTTGTATCTCTGGTACCTGGCATTACATTTTATGGCACACATGGCCCAGCTTGGCAAAGTGACATTTCTGTCGGATCTGGCCCTCAGAACAAATGAGTTTAACACCTCTGGCCGTGGATCATTCTGGTTTCCCTTCGGTTGCTCCTCAGATAGTGGGTGAATTCACAATAGGACTTGGTCTATGGACGTCCTCTCCAACCTCCCCCCTCCCCCTTTTGTCTTACAGGAAAAAAGCCGTTCAGCTGGAAGGAGAACTCGATGGTTTCACAAAGCAGTTTCTCCAACCAAAATAGAGAGAAGCTTTCGTCTTTCTCCCCGCTGCCCCAGTGCCCCTGTAGGAAGCGCCAGATGGATCTTAAAAGATGATGTGATTTTTCCACACTCAAGCCACATGAATTTTTTCAAGCTCCGTTTCTCTCTCTCCACTGCCGCCCAACTCCTTTTTGATGCTTAGATAATGAACTGGGCCTGGAGGTGCGGGAGACGGAAAGTATTATTTAACCACTGACTTGGATCATTTTGCAATTTTTCTCAAAAGTAATTATTTATATTAACGGGTGAATATATAATGTATTATTTGGAGATGTAAAAAAGAAAATCCAAGAAAAATAAATGAGCAAGAACTTATAGTATTTTGTATTAGCTTTTACCCCCGGGGCAATCTTTTCTTTCTGGCATCCAGGAAGAGGAAACCCCCCCAAAAAACCTCCTTTGTAAAATTAACTCTTAGAGCCAAGCTAGACAGGATGCCGTCCCTGGGTTCACGTCTCCATTTTGTAGAGTTCTGAAACACCTTTAAAGAGCATCGTGGGGGCCCAGTTCTAATCAGGGTCACCCTACTGAGAGGAGGGGCCCCGCGCAGCAGCGGTCCCGACCAGGATGATACCAGGGACTGCATCTCGTCTACTTTGGTCCTTAGCTGGAATTCTCTGTGGGAATGTGTGTTGCTGACTTTTTCTGCAGCTCAGTTACAGAGCTTAAGTACTGAGTAGGGGTGTGCAATTTTTTTTTAATCCGTTATTTTTTTTTGTTCGGGTCTGTTGAACCCCCCCAAAACATTTCAGGATCCGGGATTTTTTGGAAATCTTGAATTTTTGTGGGGTCCAATAGACCCAAGAATTTAAATACAGGATTTTAAAAAGCCAGCCTAATCCTGGGGCTGGCTTGCCTCGCTTCTCATGCAGTCCAATTTAAACCGGGCTACTGAAGAAGCGAGCCCCAGGAGTTCCTGTGCCGTGCGGAGCACATTACTCTGCACGGCGCAACCAATCCTGGCTGGGCTCACTTCTCCTGCCCCCATTCTTCATTGTTTCCAATGGAGGGGGAAAGAAGGCGTTTAAGGGGATCACGGTCCCTTTGAACACCTTCTGCAAGCTGTGAGCCTGGGAGTGAACTCTGAAGGCATTTAAAGGGCTCTCAGTCTCTTTAAATGCCTTCTCCAAGCTAAGAGTTCACTCCAAAAGCATTTAAAGGGACTGAGAGCCCTTTAAATGCACTTTAACTGCAAGTATCCAGCGATCCTGAAAAATCCCAAATACTTTAGGAATTTTTCGGGCTCGGCCATTTCAGATAACCGAATAAATTCTGGCTATCTATATCTGGCTGGGGAAAAAATCTGGAAAATACCTGTAAGGTATTTTTTGGCTTGGATAAATTGAATGCATGTCCCTAGTACTGAGTGATAGCATATTTAAAGAGATTTATGGAACTTAATTGCAGGTAATCCCAGGCAGCTAGGAGGTTTCACTTTCTTCTGAAGCCAGTTTTTGAGCTGCATATTGAAGCTTTAATGTCCTCACCAATGAAACGCCACGGTTAAGATTATACCTTTCTTTGGCCGCAGGGATTGGGGCAGTATTTTGCATAATTTTGTGAGGCATGCTTTGCTGCCATTTCCCTCCCACATGATAGCCAAATTCCCAGAAGGCCACAGTTAAGATTACACCTTTCTTTGGCCACAGGGATTGGGGTGGTATTTTGCATACTTTTGTGAGGCATGCTTTGCTGTCATTTCCCTCCCCTCCCACATGATAGCCAAATTCCCAGAAGCCAAAGGTGTGGAATACTAGAATAAGGGACATCGGAACGATGGTCATTTGAGTTTTCTGGGCAGCAGTGAGTTTAGCTACCACTGTTTCTGCACTGTTTTTCTATCTGGGGCCTATTCCGTATTCTCGTTTCCCTCACTTGTAAATTCTTGTTTCTTGGGGGGGGGGGTCCTGTTCCACACATTTTTGCTCCCTCTAGGGGTTGATTCAATAGTACATTGGTTTATATCCAGCATAAAACCCTGCAGTTTAATTCTTGGTTGGACATAAACCAATGTAATATTTAATCAACCACTAGAGGGAGCAAAAATGTGTGGAACAAGATACCACCCCGCCCCCAAAGAACAGGAACTTACAAGCGAGGAAAATGAGATTGCAGAAAAGCCCTCAGTCATGTCTCATGCAGTTCTGAGGGATCCAAACATCTGCAGGAGTAATGAATTCCTATTAAATTTCATGAACATGGCCTAAAATCCTTTCGGACAGCCTGATGTATGTTGCAAAGAAGGGAATGGGGTAGTTTTAAAGACCTGGCACAAGCTAAGGAGTGGCCATCTCACTCGTGGGGGATAATCCGTCAACAGGGGCCTTCTTGCCCAGTGGTGTGCATAAGCAAGGAAGCCCCTTAAGGCTCCTTTAAAGCCTTGGGGGTCACCTAGAATGAACCGCAGGTACCCCCTCGCCCACTAACATTGCACAAGCAAACCGATGCATGTGATTTCTGTAACGCTTTTCCAGATGTGTGTTAACGCACAAGAGTGGGGTTGCTTTTTTTTTTTAAAGAGGAGTAAAGTGAACACATGCATGTTTTTAAAGCAAACGGAGAATGAATTCTTTAGTTCCCGTTCCGTGCTGGGTGCTTGAAAGGGAGAGATCACTGGTCACCAAGGGCTACTGAAAAACACTCGCTGGGTTCCGTACTGGTTTCTTGCTGAGCAAGAAATGAGAATTGCCATTGTGTGCTTTCCCCCCCGCTTGCTGGTGCATTTAAACCATCTGAAATGTTTCATGCAGCTCTTCTGAAACCTGCCTAGAAGCATAAAAAGGGGGAAACTACAGATGCAGCTGGCCGGTTTTTAATATGTCTATATATTTTTAATGTGACCGTGACTACCTAACAGCCAGTTCAGGTTATCTGAGATTGCTGTTACGTATCCCCCAGTACTGAAAGCATTTGTCTGAGACTCTCCTTTTGATGTGCACATTCGCCAAGGAAAACCCTGAACAGCCGTCCTTGCCGGAGTTAACCCACGTAGTCATTGATCAGCTGATTTGTCCTGTGTGTGTGTCAGGACACAGCAGCAGGGCCACAAAAAGTTTGGTGTCCTCTGCTGGCTGCAGAAATGTGACGTTTAGGGCAGAGCAGGCTGTTCTCTCAACTGCAAGGGCTCAAGCTGTCTTACTCCGACGAGTTTAAAACATGCTGACTCGATGACAATCAGCATTTCCTTTGCAAGACTACCAGTTTTCTGTTGGAAGTTATGACTGAATAAATAAACTTCTAGATTTCTACAGCAGTCACGTGTCCTGAATTTTTTTTATACCCCATTCTGCATTCGAAGAGCCTACTCTTGAGTTCTTTCTCTACATTCACCTGGATTCTGCTTTGTAACCTCACCCACCTTCGTGTTCTCAAAAGACACTGTCTCGCCTCTCGTGGGTCCCTGCCTCCCCTTGTTTTCCACCCAGCTCCCCCATCCCAGCTAAGACTGAACAGAATCACACACTTTCAATTAGCTAAGTAGTTCTTAACATTCAACTGCTATCCATTATTGAATGCCTTTCCAGCAAGAAGCTTAAAAAGGAGAGATTGGATTTATACCCCTCCCATCACTCAGAGCGGCTTACAAACTCCCTTCCCCTCCCCACAACAGACATCCTGTGAGGGAGGTGGGGCTGAGAGAGCTCTTTCCAGAACTGCTCTTTTCAAGGACAGCTCTTATCAGAACTATGGCTTGCCCAAGGTCATCCAGTAGCTGCAAGTGGAGGAGTGGGGAATCAAACCCGGTTCTCCCAGATTAAGAACACAACCCCTACACCAAACCAGGCTCTTAACAGCAGAATCCCAGCCAAGGCAACCCTTTAAATATCTATTTATTTACTTCATTTATACGTTGCCTTTCTTCCCAGTGGGGATCCAAAGCAGCTGACGCCATTCTCCTCTCCGATATTTTATCCTCTCAACAACCCTGTGAGGTAGGCGAGGCTGAGAGTGTTGCCTGGCCCAGCAGCACCAAGGAAGCTTCCATGGCAGAGCAGGGATTTGAACCTGGCGCTCCCAGATCCTTGTCTGCTGCTCTTGCCCCGACAAGACAGACAGGGGCCAGTGTTCCCTCTAAGCTGAGTTAGAGTGAGCCAGCTCACAGTTTTTTAGCCTCCAGCTCACACATTTCTGTCTCAGCTCGGGAAGGAGGGCTCCAGAGCAGACTGATTTATGCAGGAGCCAAATTGCTCGCTCACCACTTTAATGCCAGTAGCTCACAAAGTAGAATTTTTGCTCACAAGACTCTGCAGCTTAGAGGGAGCATTGACAGGGGCTCTCCTAAATGTACCCATTTCCGAGCCAGACTAGTACTGTTCGGAGACTCTGGTTTTCCCCTTGCCTTGGTTGCTATTACAGCAGTCCTCTTATCTTCTGGCAGCTTCTTAGGCATCCTTAACTCTCGGGGATGGATGGGAATTTCTTCTGTCCCAAGTGGGGAGTGTTCCTCTTTGCTGCATGCTGTAGCCAGGGCCACATTATGACTTCCGTAGGCCCTTCCCACCATAATAAAGGTAAAGGGGCTGCAGTGGCTCAAGTGGTTAAGACGCTGAACTGCAGACCTGAAGGTCGGTAGTTCCACAGTTCGAGACCCGAGTGTGCCGCATGACGGAGTGAGCTCCCCTCTCTACTTGCAAGAAATTGCAAGTAGATAAATAGGTACCACTTCGGAGGGAAGGTAACAGCGTTCGGTGTGCCTTGGTGTTTAGTCATGCCGGCCACATGACCATGGAAACGTCTTCGGACAGCGCTGGCTCTTCGGCTTGGAAACGGAGATGAGCACTGCGTCCCTAGAGTCGGATTCGACTGGCTTTCGAGCAAGGGAAACCTTTACCCACCATAATATCAAAATTCAAAATTATTTTTGATATAACTTTGTACGTCAACATTTTATTTTTTATTCTGTTCTAGGGCAAAATTTAATAGATTTTCATGGGCCCTAAACATTTTTTTTTCTGGTGTGAGAAAAAAATTAAAACATTTTCGTGGAGCCCTGAAAGTACCATGGGCCCTAGGCACTGTGCCTACGGGGTGTGTGTGCCTATTTCCCCCAAAGAGTTGCAAATCACCTCCGGGGAGGGGGATACAGCCCAGGTTAGGAATTTTATTTATTTATTTAGTAGACTTTTACCCAGCCCTCCCGGCAAAGCTGGCTCAGGGCGGCTCACAACAATATAAAACAACACACTATAAGTTACAAAATCCATTAAACACAAATTCTAAAACCATACAGATCATAACATACTAAAGTGCTAGTAGTGGTTCCTCAGCGTACAGAATCTCTGTTAACCCTCCTTCAGTCATCTCTCAAGCACAATTGGGCTGCCACAGCGGTTTAGATTTTTCCCACGCTGCTAAAATTTCCATCACATCACTTCTTGCCTGTCCCTTCACCCAAGAAAAGCTCCGGTGTTCCTAAGGCATTTTTATTCCACACATACAAACACAAGAGCAAATCCTTCTCTGCTCTCCGTGACGTTCCAAAATAACTTTTCCTCTGGGAGAGTTGGAAGAATCTTTCCTCATAATCTGAGGGGAGGGTCCCGCTGGAACAGAATTTCATGGGGCCTCGTAGGGAGGCAGGAAAACGGTACTGCCTGGGCTGTCAAGCCCTGACGTGGATTGCCCAGGCTAGCCTCATCTTGTCCGATCACAGAAGCGAAGTTGGGTTGGTCTTGTTCAGTACTAAAATGGGAGACCGCCAAGGAATATCAGGGTCCCTAGGCAAAGGCGGGTG